TCTATGGAGAAATTTACAAAAAATTAATGCAGATCGGAAGAGCACACGTCTGAACTCCAGTCACGCCGCAACATCTCGTATGCCGTCTACAAAAAAAAAAAAAAAAAAAAAAAAAAAATAGAAAGAGCTTCATAGGACAAGCATGATCCAAAGTAATATCACTCAGAAAAGCTGAGCAAAGAAATGAAATGGTTGTTCCAGAACTAAAAGAAATTTCGTTAGCCCTTGTGGTTCAAAAGAAGCACATGCTTGAAAGAAGAGTGGCTGCTGGAGGAGGTTCCCTGGGGACAGAGAGGGGCAGTGACCTGGAATCTTGGGTCCCGCAGGGTGGAAGGCACAGCCGCAGCCCCTACCCTTTCCACCTCTGCACTGATGTCCCCAGCCTCCCCACTGACGGCCCCGCTCATCCCTCAGGCTGGGGACAGCAGCAGGTGGACAGCCGCTTGCCATTCCTCTGACAAGGAGAGGAATATAACCAGCCGGCTCGCTCTGGGGCATCTACTCCAGCACACACACCTCTACATACTTCCAGAAGTAGGTCCCACCTATTCATTGCACCATTTCTGTTGGCCAAATGAAGTTAGAGCCATGACTGTCCATGCCAGGCAATGCCCACCAAAGCAGGTCCACCCAGTGCTGGGCACCGCAGCCACAGAGAGCCAGGGCAATGTGTCTGTGATCCTCGGGGGCGGGGGGCAGGCCAATGCTTAGCGCAGCCAGTGTAGTGCCTTCTGAGGCTAGACTGCTGTATGCGCTGAGTGTGCGTGTGAGTGTGCATGTATGCGTGCATGTGTGTGTGTGTGTGTGTGTGTGAGAGAGAGAGAGAGAGAGAGAGAGAGAGAGAGAGAGAGAGAGAGAGTCTCCTTCTTCCAGCTCTTGGATTGAAGCTCTTGGGGGAGAAAGAGAAATGTGGGGACTGGTCCTGAGGAAGGGCCTGGAAAGGCCCACTCCAGGGATGAAAGGCCCACATCCTTGCAGGGCAGAAGAGTCTCTGCAGGAGTTTGAAGGAGTGGGGGAGGGGCTGCTGGGGACAAAGGTTCAAAGTGATCATGGGCTCTGGGTAGGGGAGCCACTGGGCCCCCAACAAGTGATCTCTGTGACTAGGGTGCACCCAGAGAGAGTAGGACCCGCCCTGCCTGGGCTGAAGCACCTGGCTCACCCACCCAACCCCCAGGGAGGCCCCGTACCCGAGCCGGATTCCTGGGTGATGACGGTTACAGTCAGGTTTTGTGGAGGGTCTGGGGCAGGAAGACACAGCAGGGCCATCAGTGGGGAGGCTGGGGGACATCTGCCCTGTCCCCAGGAGCTGCAGAGGTGGGAAGGGTAGGGGCTGCGGCTGTGCCTCCCACCCTGCTGGGCTCGGGATTCCAGGACATAGCCCCTCTCTGTTCCAGGGAGCCCCCTCCAGCAGCAGTCCTGCCATCCCTGCCCGGCTCTTACAGGAAGTGTTGAGGTGCACGGTGGTCGTCTTGGTCACACTGACCGCGGGCAGAGTCACCTGACAGGTGAGGCTGGTGCCGTGGTCCTGGGGCCGCGAGGTGAGGCTGAGCACTGGGGAGCTGCTCATGTTGGGGCCCAGGTGGGACACAGAGGCCCCCAGCCAGGAGAAGATGGGGGGCGTCCCCCGCTCACAGGCCCAGGGCACAGAGCAGGTCAGGGTGGTGGGGTGACCCGGTGCCAGGGTCCCCGCGATGAGGATGTCGGGGCTGTGGGTCAGGGCTGGTGAGAAGAAGGGACAGCGGGGTCAGGAAGGAGCTCAGAGGCGAGGCCTTGATGGAATCTTGGGATCTGCTCCTCCCGGATCTCTACAGCACAGCCCCTGACTCCATCTACGCATGTCCATCCCAGCTCTGCCTACTGCCCTCTGATTGCTGTTGAAGTCCAGGACTTACCTGTCACACGCACAGAGAGCACATTATATCTGTAAATATATCGAGCCTGTCCTCTCTCCAGCCGAAAGACAAATGTTCCCTGATCCTTCTTCCTGGCATCTCTGATGTCCAGGGAGCAGTTGTAAGCCCCAGGGTCCCCGGTGAGGAGGAATCGGCCTTCTGCTTCCTCCAGCACCTGTCGATCTGGATCATTTGTGGCCACTGGAGCAGCCTGGCCTATAGACCCACCCTTGCTCCGGAACCAGTAGCCGTAAGCCGGGTCTGACTCAGTCCATTCTCCATCGGGGTAGGTGAGCTCACAGGGCACATGGGCACACAGGCCCTCCTGCACCATCACTGAGCTCTGCACCTTCAGAGAGTATTGCTGCGTGCTCAACACGGCCTGTGCCCCAAGCAGCAGCAGCCACCGCAGCAGCAGCAGCAGCAGCAGCAGCATGTCTGCCTGGAGCTGGGGTCCCCAGGGGAGTCTGCTCAGGATCTGTGTTCTGAAGAACCCAGAGCTGCAAGAGCTGCAGGAAGCCCACAGGAAGAGCTGTGCTTCCCCGGGGAGGAGCTTCAGAGCGGCCACGGTCAGGGCCCAGTTGGCCTTTAGAGGTCAGCCCCCACCACCCACGTTCACTCCTGGGACCCTGGGACCACGAGGGCTAGAGATTGTCCACTTCAGCTGTGCAGCGCCTCACCTTCTCTGCCCACTCCCTGCTGAGGTCCTCCCCCTTGAGTGACATTTTCCACGGGGTGAAAATGGGTCCCCTCCTGACCAGACCCCGTGAGTCACCCCTGATGCCACCGATATTTGTGGAGTCTGGGATGGGACCAGAGACAGGATGGATGCAGAGACCCAGTCCTGGGCACATGAAGCCTCTCCCGCCTGCTCAGCAGCCCTGGAGGGTGGACATGTCCGCCTCCCACAGCGAGGCCATGTCACAGGCTGGGGCACTGTCCCCTAGTGGCCACTGTTCTCAGGGCGGAGGTGCCAAGTCATCTACCGTCAGAGCTTCCTGGTGGAAGGAGCTAAGACAGTTTTGTGTACGTTAAGGCTCTGTTTGATGTACATTTAAATTTTTAAAATTTTTCGGTTGTAGTAAATTTCAGAGTTTGTGAAGCTCTCATAAGGGGTGGACGTTAGCTTTGCAGTACAGTTCACTCCTGTGACAACAGGCTCTTTTCCCTAGCTTGTTGGGTATTATCTGCTCTCTTTTACTACAAACAGTTCACGCACATGGATTGATTACACCTACGCCTGGGGACCAGCGCGACACGTCCGTCCGTGAATGCTGTGAGCGCTCATCAAATGCAGCCTCCCTTTATCCATATCCTCCTCTCCAAAACTAGTTGTCAATATTCTACATTCACGTCAAATTTATGGGTTTTTTTTTTTTTTAACTTCTAGATGAGAGACTCTGGTGTGCTTGTCCTTTGGCGTCTGGTATGTTTCCTGCAGTGTCTGCCAACTACATGGATTCTGCAGCAACTGAGAGGATTACATTCTTCATGTCTGAAGAATGTTCTTTCTTTTTTTTTTCTTTTGGCAGAACCAGGGATGGATCTCAGGCCCTTGCGCTTGCCAGGGAAGTGCTTATTCCACTGAGCCATCTCCCCGGCCCCTAGAATGTTCTGTTTAGTTCTTTGTTAATTGGCCCACGGATGGGTACCCAGGCTGATTCTTTGTCTCACTACTGCGAAGAGCCCCACAGTGGCTGCAGGCATGCTGCCATGCCTTGGGCACGCTGATTTCATCCACTTTTGCTTTTTTCACACCTTGACTCTATGTTTTTTGCTGTTTGTTTGAGATAGGGTCTCTCTCTGTAGTTCACACGCAACTTGCACTCTCGGGGATCTTTCTGCGTAGGCTTCCGGAGTGCTGGGATTACAGCTGTGCACCCCCACGCCTGGCTTCATTCTTCTGGATGTAAGCTCCTGTTTTAGTTACTTTTTACTCGTTGCTGGGACAAATACCCGACACTCAAAATGAAGGAAGGAAAGGTTTATTTAGCTCACAGTTACTGGAGGGTTCAGTCCATATTTTGCTGGCTCCAAAGCAAACGACAGCAGTTCATGCGGCAGAAAATAACGAAGAGCAGAGGAGGAGCAGCAGCTGCAGCGGCGTGCATCAAGCCTCTCTCTTCCTTCTGCGCTGACTGCGAAGACCAGCGCTCCACAGCGAAGATCGGAGCTCCTCCAAAGCAGCGTGGCAGCCCAGATCAAGCTCCTCTGAAGACTGAGACTTCTCCACGGAAGTGGGGCGGGACTGCAGGAAACCGGGCAGCAGGCAGGAAGCCTTTCTCAATGCCTGGGACCTGCCCACTGGCAGGGCGAGGCCCCCACGCTGAGATCCGCTGGAGCTGATTCAGCCAAGTTGACACAATGTATCAACTAACACAGCTCCGAAGTGAAATAGCTGGTGGTACTATTTTTTTTTTTAATTTTTTTTTATTTATTTATTTGAGAG